TACGACAGGAAACCAGTCGGTCTTGCCTTCTGTTTTTACTGTCCACTGAATATCTTTATGAAGAGCCGTGATGTTACCCAGTAGCTGATCTTGAATACCAGAATCTTCTAGAATTGTCCATAGTTTGCATCTGTTGACTCTGTCACATGCAGTCTCTTGAATTATAAATATAGAGTGTTGACTTTGATCATATTCAATACTCTGCTCGATTATCTGTGACCCTTTGAAAATAAAGTTCGTTCGTTCGTTCGTTCGTTCGTTCGTTCTGCCTCAAAGAAAAGGTTTTATCTGTGCAGCTCTTTCCCCTCCTAAAACAAAACTGTCTTTTACTTAACTGGGCTCCAGTACGAGTCGATCTGTAGAGTCCAACATTTTACAAACAACTTTCCAACATGGCTTAAGACGGAGATGCAACTGTATGTTTCACAGTCTCGTCTGTCCCTTTTATTCCCCCAGGTGGCGAAATTATTGCTCTCTGCCAGTCATATGGAACCTTCCGTGCATCCCCAGCTGTGTAAAGGATTCTGGTCAACCAAACTGTTTTGTTTTCTTACATGCAAGGAGCACTGATGTCGCAATACTATCTATTCCTGCTGGCTTGTTCTTTTTTACTTTGTTCAACTTCAAAATCTAGTATCATTGGTTCATATTCTGTTGCTAATTCTATTTGGTATGGTACTGCATCCAGTGATCCACAGTATAACAGCTCACTGAAATATTCTTTCCATTTAATACCATGACTGCTGGTGAGGTGTTTCTCATTCGTGTAGCTACTAATATTGGATGTATAATCTTTCCTCTTCTTTTCTCTGTCTGATTGTTTTGACACTTCTGTAAAACTATCTTGGAGACTCAGTTCATAGTATCGCTATGTGTTCTCCATTGTCGGACCAAAAATCTGATTTTCCCTTGTTCACGTTCTATTTTGTGCCTTTGCTCACTTTTCTATATTTGATGTAAACTTCACCTGATTGTGTCTTCTGCTACTTAGAGAACTGTTCACATCTTCATTTCACCACGGTGTTGTTTTTTCTATGACAGTCCAGCTTTCTAATACTGCAGCTCCCTTTCACAGTGATCAAAATGCATGTTTTAAAAGTCTGACACTCATCTTCTATGTTGTTTGCTTCTGTAAGGGTGTTGAAAGCGATTCTCCGCAACTTCTTTATCTTTTAGTCTCTATTTATTGCTCCTGTCTGTTGAATTAATTTCGTCATGTGTGTTCCAGCCAAAGTGCCATTAGTCTACGGTCGGAATATATTAGGAATGGCCTAGGCATTCTTTACGTTCTCTTTCTTTTTCTAGATCTCGCTCCCACCCCACCCCACCCTCTTTCTTTTTCTAGATCTCGCTCCCACCCCACCCTCCCTCTTTCTTTTTCTAGATCTCGCTCCCACCCCACCCTCCCTCTTTCTTTTTCTAGATCTGGCTCCCACCCCACCTCTCCCTCTTTATTTTTCTAGATATCGCTCCCACCCCACCCCTCCCTCTTTATTTTTCACTCTATAAAAGTCATTTGTGAGCTTGGTTAAATTTATTTTACCTACAAGTTAAGGTGACGTTACAGAACCAACCCAAGCATGTTATGGCTTTAGTAGTTTGTGTAGACGTTCAGTAGTTTGTTATTACTTTCTGATTAACCACTCTCGGCCCCAATGTCAAAACCAACGCAGTACGGTCTGCTATCAAATCGCCTGCAGCTGGAATCGACCCCAAACCCCGATATCCCGGCATTACGAAGCGTGTTTGCCCGCCTAAACTACAGACGTTTTAACCATGCAGTGGTAATGTCTGACTGCTGTAATGCTGATAACAAGTTACTCATGATCAGATGATGTTCGGCACAGAGATTGCACATTGTTCTCCGTTACAATTGTATTAAGTGGTTGCGTCGCTGAATGGTCGCAGGTATCTGTCCCGTGGCAGATCCTAACTTTTGCATTAAAATACCCGGGATCGCCAGGGGTTACTTTATTTAAAGTTTACACATAAATTAATGGGTCACTATTTCATGTTTAGACATAAACTAAGGGTCGCTTCATTTAATGTTTACTTCATGAAGACATAAACTAAGGCTCACTTTACCTAATGTTTGCACTGACTAGGGGGTCACTCTACTTAGTGTTTAGTAAACGTAACGAAAATCTTCCCAAACACAGTTGGCTCTGCCTAAATACACAATGGGTAACTTTTGATTGGCAGTTCCTGAGCCTCCTCACTTTCGCACAAGGTTACGAGGGTGTTCCGCGATACCACTGATATTGCGTGTTGTATATTTTACCACGCCAGTGCTTTTAACGCCCCAAAAACTGGAGCACTGGCCCTAACATCCCCCCCCCCCCCCACGAGAGTGCTGCAACCTAGGTCACAGGCATTTTCTTTCTCTGAATGAAAAGTTAAATGGAAGAAAACACATAAAACAAGCAATAGAGCGGGACACACCCGTAACTTTCACCAAAGTTGACCAGCTTAACAAACTGAATAAAAAGTGACCTATTGCGTAAATGGACGGGACTAACTCTGTTTGGGGAGATTTGCGTAATGTTTACCTAATGTTTACACATACACAGATCATATCACTTAATGTTTACACATGACAAGGGTCACTTTACTTAATGTTTACACATGACTAAGGGTCACTTTATTTAAAGTTTAAACATGACTAAGACACTGTATTTAATTTTTACACGGACTAGAGGTCACTTTATTTAATTTTGACACCTGAACTAGGGGCCATTTGAACAAATGTTCAAACATGACCTAGGGGGTATCCGTATTTAATGTTTGCACACGAACTAGAGGATTTAATGTTTACACACGAACTAGAGGAATTAATGTTTACACACGAACTAGAGGATTTAATGTTTACACACGAACTAGAGGATTTAATGTTTACACACGAACTAGCGGATTTCATGTTTACACACGAACTAGAGGATTTAATGTTTACACACGAACTAGAGGATTTAATGTTTACACACGAACTAGAGGATTTAATGTTTACACACGAACTAGAGGATTTAATGTTTACAAACGAACTAGAGGATTTAATGTTTACACACGAACTAGAGGATGTAATGTTTACACACGAACTAGAGGATTTAATGTTTACACACGAACTAGAGGATTTAATGTTTACACACGAACTAGAGGATTTAATGTTTACACACGAACTAGAGGATTTAATGTTTACACATGAACTAGAGGATTTAATGTTTACACACGAACTAGAGGATTTAATGTTTACACACGAACTAGAGGATTTAATGTTTATGCTTAAACTAAGGGATCACTATCCACATAACTACTGCTGCCATGTTGGTCAGGTGGCCAGTGCTCTTCTCTACTAAGTCTGTTGTCCATGTTCCTTAGCTTTAGCAGTATTACCTTGACTTACCTGTACAGTCCCGGGGTCGCACTCATAAAAATGCGTGACCGTATCCCACATTTACAGGTGTCACACTAAAAAAGAAATGGTAACCTTTGTGTACAGCTGACCGTGTCCTACCTGTACAGAATTTGTGGTGAACACACCGCCTATGCAATTAGAACCCTTCAAAAATAGAACTGTCAGGCTGCCAAGCATCTAAACGTTCATCAGAGTACCATCCGTCGTCTTTGGCATTTGTTCCAAGCCACTGGTTCAGGTAAAGATTGACACAGGGTGACAACAGCAGAAGAGAATAGCCTTATTAGGTTTCGTCACCTCAGAGACAGGTTTACAACAGCTTCCTCAACTGCAGAAATTGCATCAAAGACGTCGTCTGATCAAACTGTTGGGAACAGACTGCATGACCTTGGCCTTCAAGCACCACGACGACTCCTAGGATCTGCCCTTACGTGTCGCCACAGCCAAAATCGACTTCTTCGGGACAACCAACATCGGTCCCTGGCAGGTGACGATCAATGGAGATGAACCTTTCATTTTGTTGATAGACGGCGTATGGTCTACTCCCATTCTGCACAGTTCCTGGCTGCCAATAAGATTAAAACCGTTTTCTGACCAGCCCTGTCTGCAGATCAGACTGAGCACCAGTGGGATGAGCTGCAAAGACGTGTTTGTCTCCGAGACGTCCTCCAGCCAATGGTTGTGATCGGTGTTTGTCACCGAGACGTCCTCCAGCCAATGGTTGTGATCGGTGTTTGTCACCGAGACGTCCTCCAGCCAATGGTTGTGATCGGTGTTTGTCACCGATACGTCCTCCAGCCAATGGTTGTGATCGGTGTTTGTCACCGAGACGTCCTCCAGCCAATGGTTGTGATCGGTGTTTGTCACCGAGACGTCCTCCAGCCAATGGTTGTGATCGGTGTTTGTCACCGAAAAAGTCCTCCAGCCAATGGTTGTGATCGGTGTTTGTCACCGAGACGTCCTCCAGCCAATGGTTGTGATCGGTGTTTGTCACTGAGACGTCCTCCAGCCAATGGTTGTGATCGGTGTTTGTCACCGAGACGTCCTCCAGCCAATGGTTGTGATCGGTTCCAGGCACTTCAGAAACAATGGGCAGCCATCCCACAGGTCTACATTAGACAGCTGATCGCATCCATGTCCAAGAGACGCCAGTCACATGACTCATGCTTGAGGAAGACCTGCACCGTACAAGGAGGAAAGGCCGTACGCCTACAAATTATCGTCACCCAGATGAAACACTGAATTATTCTTGTATGGAATTTGAGTAATTTCCAATATGGCATTACAAAAGCGCCGAATGTCAAACTTGTGAGTATGTATGTTCCTTTCGATAGTTATGCGTTTTTGTTTTCATTTTTGGACAGTATACACACACACACACACACACACACACACACACACATCCTATACCTGTGTTTAAATATGTGTATATATATATATATATATGTGTGTGTGTGTGTGTGTGTTAGTGACATGCCAAGTGTAACTATATGTTATATTTCTATATATGTGTATGTGTGTGTGTGTTAGTGACATGCCAAGTGTAACTATATGTTATATTTCTATATATTGATCATGCTGAGTCGTATACCGCAGACAGCTGGTGCACTCCATGGAGCGGTTGGTGGAATCCAGCCCCTAGACCTTTGATTATCACTGTCCACTTGTTGACATGGTCTCTGGGGAAAAGGCAAAGATAGTCTATGTAGCACTGTAATAGTCTGTGTGCTACAGTGATAGTATGTGTGCTACAGTGATTGTCTGTGTGCTACAGTTATAGTCTGTGTGCTGCAGTGATTGTGTTGTACAGTGATAGCCTCTGTGTCACAGTCATAGTCTGTGTGCTAAAGTGATAGTCTATGTGCAACAGTGATAGTCTGTCTGCTACAGTAATAGCCTGTTTGCTACAGTGATAGTCTGTGTGCTACAGTGATAGTCTGTGTGCTACAGTGATAGTCTGTGTGCTGCAGTGATTGTGCTGTACAGTGATAGCCTGTGTGCTACATCGATAGTAGGTGTGCTGTAGTGATAGTCTATGTGCTACAGTGATAATATGTCTGCTACAGTGATAGCCTGTGTTCTACAGTGATAATCAGTGTACTGTAGGGATAATATGTGTGCCGCAGTGATAGTATGGGTGCTACAGTGATAGTCAATGTGTTATAGTGATAGTCTGTGTATTACATTGATAGACAATGGGCAAAAGGTATAGCCTATGTGCTACAGTGATAATTATTGGCTAAACTGATAGACTGTGTGCTACAGTTATAGTCTATGTGCTACAATCGTTGTCTGCATACAACAGTGATAATATTGTGCTACAGTGAAAATATATGTTCTACAGTGATAATTTTTTTACAAAGTGATAGTCTATGCGCTGCAGTGACAGCCTGAATGCTACAGTGATAGTCTAAGTGCTACAGTAATAGTCTGTGTGGAGGCTACATTATGTGAGGTACTTAAACAAACTCTAAACAAGAAGTCGCTAGGCGACAAGCTTACTAAATTTGGTGATGTAATATATGAACACTGCTCCCGCGAGTTCGGGACAGTAGTAAAGGCACAGCCGGGTGCCAAGCAGAATACTAGCAGGAGGCAGAGGGACATTCTGAAGTGTCGGGCAGACAAGAATGCCCTCAGAAAACGGTTCAAAGCCGCTACAGGCAGCGAACGGGAGGGGCTGTACGAAGTTTGGTTGCATTTAAAGAACAAACACAGTGCCCTCTGTCGTGCCGAGCGTTTCTGTAACAACAGACGCAGAACCAAAAGGGAGCGAGAGAAATTCTTTAGGGACCCGTATCAGTTCGCCCGAGGTCTATTCGAGCAACCGAAGTCTGGGACTCTGGTTGTCAGTCAGGAAGAACTAGAGCTACATCTACGCAAGATGTACTCGGATAAAAAGAGGAGTGAGCCTCTCGATGACAATCCAGAGATCCTTAGCGGACTCAAACAGCCTTCGGTGCCGAAGGTACCATTTAAACTGGTACCTCCCCTTTGGTCTGAGGTTGAGGACGTTGTGAAAAAAGCCAGCGGCAAGTCTGCCCCAGGTCCGAACGGTGTTCCGTACGTTCTTTACAAGCGTTGCCCGAAAATCCTTAAAATGCTTCACGTCTTGTTGAGACAAGCGTGGATCCGCAATCACATATGTCCAGAGTGGTCAAAGGCAAATGGGGTCTACATTCCCAAAGAGCAGGACTCGAAGAGTCTTTCCCAATTCAGGCCCATCTCGCCGTTGAATGTTGAGGGTAAGATATTCTTCTCAGTCATGGCTCGCCGGCTCACACAGTATCTGATGACTAACAAGTACATAGATACGAGTGTTCAGAAGGGTGGCATTCCAGGCGTTCCTGGGTGCCTTGAACACGCGACCATGATTTGGGAGGCTATCCAGAGAGCCAAGCATGAGAGAACCAATTTGCACGTTATATGGTTGGACTTAGCCAACGCCTACGGGGCAGTTCCCCATAGGCTACTGTGGCGAGCCCTTCGCATGTTTCACGTACCGACACAGATCAGTCAAATGGTCGAGCAATATTTCTCTAAGTTCGCTTTGCGCTTCTCTACCTCGACGTTTACCACGAGGTGGACTGAGTTGCAGATTGGGATAGCTATGGGTTGTACGATCTCACCCATACTGTTTGTCATGGCAATGCAGATCATGTTAGACGGGGCGGCCGGCTACGGACTGGGCCTTCAAATAGGGGATCACTGGTTGCCGCCACTGCGCGCATTTATGGATGACACGACTATTATAACGGGCAGCGAGGAGTCTGCCCGCAGGATCCTGAATAGATTGGACGCGGTGGTCCAATGGAGCGGTATGCAGTTCAAACCGCAGAAGTCGAGGAGTCTGTCAATCCATAAGGGCAAGGTTTCGGCGACCAGTTTTACGGTGGCAAGGAACAAGATCCCTACGGTTCTGGAGGAACCGGTGAAGAGCCTCGGTCGCGTCTACGATTCGAAGTTATCTGACAGAGCGGAAGTCCGGCGAATACATGAGTCACTGGCTACAGGCCTGCTCGCGATCGAGCGATGCAGGCTGATCGGAAAATTCAAGGTATGGTGTCTCCAATTCATGTTGATTCCGAAGCTTCTATGGCCACTGCTAGTCTACGAGGTGACGATGACTGCAGTGGAAACCATGGAAAAGAAAATCAACACAGCCTTAAGAAAGTGGATTGGTGCACCGCCTTGTCTGACCGACGTGGCTCTGTATTGTAAACAGGCTAAGCTGGTACTTCCGTTCAAGTCAATAACCGAAGAGTTTAAAGTCGGCAAAGTTAGGCTCTCCATGCTTTTGCGCGAGTCCTCAGACCCAAATGTCATCGCTGTCCAGCCCGCTCTAAAGACTGGCCAGAAGTGGAGAGTCCTCGATGCGATTGAATCTGCTCAGAACGCACTAAAATTGAAGGAGGTGATGGGTTACACACAAACCGACCGTCGAGGCCTAGGGCACGGGAAAGTCAACTGGTGGTCAAAGGCCTCAGCCAAAGAACGCCGAGACATGGTGATACAAACGGTGAGGGACAACGAAAACGAGGTTCGGGTTCCAAAAGCAGCCCAACAGTCGCAGCAGGGCCATTGGGTCAGCCTGGAGAGCGCATTGCCAAGAGTACTCACATGGGGTGAGATCTGGCGGATGACCCCGCTGCGACTGAGCTTTATCGATCGTTCGGCGTACGATGTATTACCGTCCGGTGTTAACATGGTTAAATGGTCTGCGACCAACGATCCGACTTGCCCGTTGTGCAAATCAAAGCAAACTCTTGAGCACGTCCTGTCCGCGTGCAGGAAAGCTCTAGGTCAAGGCCGCTATACCTGGCGCCACAACAAGGTGCTAAAAGAGTTAGCAGCCGTTGTCGACCAGGCTAGAATGAGGGCTAACGCCAGAGCCAGTTCTAGTATCGTCCCCATTCGTTTCCTCAAGGCTGGGCAGGTTCCTAAAGGTAAGGTCAACCAAAACGCATTCGCTCCATCTGCGCTAGACTCTGCGAGGGACTGGTTACTGGCGGTTGATCTGCCAGGACATGAACGGTATCCCGAGTTGATCCGTAAAACCGGCCTGCGACCGGACATCGTTCTCCATTCTGCGCAAAAACGGCAACTCATCCTGATTGAGTTGACGGTCCCGTTTGAGTCGCGTATGGAGGAGAATCACTTGTACAAGCTCGAAAAGTACAGTGATTTAGCAGCCGGTTTGAGGAGAGACGAGGCTTACACAGTACGGGTATTTGCCGTCGAAGTGGGAGCGAGAGGCCTCGTTTCCACTTCGCTCTACAATGTGGTTAAAGAACTAGGATTGCGCGGTAATGAACGGAAACGAACACTTAAAAAACTGGGAGAGGCAGCCGAAAGGGCCTCTAGCTGGCTGTGGACGCAGCGCAACAACGTAGGGGACGGGCCTCGGTGAGCTGGTCCGGGTGTCTAGTGGAAAAGAGTTTCTTATCCCTTTGAAAAGTCCATCGTGTACGAATTGTCTGCCAGTGTTCCTCTGCCAACTGCTAATAAAAGTTCAACATGTGTCCGGTAAACCAAAGTAAGCTTGTCGCTCGGTCGTCCAGGCATGCGGACTGTTCTAATTACGCTGTCGCGGCGGCTTCTTATCTCACAGTACCTCCTTCGAAACCACTAAGTCGTCTTGTCTCTGGCCGAAATAATAACACCATCCGGTAATCCCGTGCGGCGGGGAAGCAGCCCTGAGCTTCATGAACTCAGGTGGGCCCACCTCCGAATACGTTTAGGAATCGTGGGCCGAAACGTGTGTCGAAAGAGGATAATTTCTACTGATGACTGTAGATCCCCGCTGTACTTGCTCCCTGTGAGTTTATTCTTACTGTGTGCTACAGTGATAGCTATGTGCTACAGTGATAGCTATGTGCTACAGTGACACTCTGCATGCTATAGCGATAGTTATGTGCAACAGTGATAGTTTGTTTGCTACAGTGACAATCAGCGTGCCGGCAGCTGATACAGGAGGGAAGCTCTGACAGGCTGACAGATAGAACACTGCTCTTCTGATCCGGCAGCTTCTGCAACCTGCCTCGTTCTAAACATGCTGGTTTTACCTTTCCTTTGGAATAAACAAGGCAGGTCGAAAGAGGGATCATTATGCATGGGCAACATATGGTCTCTACAATGCTGCCAAGGTTTTGTGCTATGGAGAGAAGGAACTTCATCCCTGACCTTAATCGGTCTCGCAAACAAATCGAGAGACAGCAGTTACGGGTTATAAGTCCTTGTCAGTTGGCGTAGACGAGGGCGCCACGGGTTGCCTCTGACGTTGGAAGACATATTCGTAAATAACTGATCAACTACCGCCCGCCTCAAACTGGGCAGCCACCAGCAGATAAGGTGTTGATCTGCCACAGCTTGTATGCTTCAATGGGTGCTTGGAGCTAGGACAAAATCCGAACTGCAGGCTGTAAAACCAATGCACCAGTCAAAAAAAAAAAAAAAACATAACCCCAAGCTTCGACTTGGCTCTTTGAACGTGAGGACCATGTGTCAAGGGTTTTCCACCGACCTGGAAAACAATAATGATGTGAGAAAAACGGCTACTCAACAAACTTGACATAGATATTGCTGCCCTACAGGAAACCCGTCTGCCAGAGGATGGGTCTATTAGAGAAAATAATTATACATTTTTCTGGAAAGGCAGAGGCCAGGAAGAAATCAGAAT